AATTGATTATCATGTGCTGAGGTTAATAACTGTTTTCAGCTAGTCTCTGAGTGTCTTTTACTGGCAGATCTGTCTTGAAATATCAGAACTGCTCTTAAGAGGAAATTTTAAGTGGTTGTTTTTGATAGCATTAAGGACCTGGTATTTAGCTGTCTTATCTGTTCTAACAACTGCCTAATATGACTCTCTCAAAGAAAAAAAAAAAAAAAAAAAAAAAAAAGAGAGGGACTTTATGCAGTGTTGGAGCTGAGTGAGAGACATATGGGAGTGCTTGAGCTTTCTCTGTCCCAGTTCCAGGAAGCCAAAGCACAACACATCATCTGAGCACACAGGTCATACAGAGTCTTATCAATGAGGTTCGCTTCTTTGTGGGAGAAACGTAACTCTTGGGTAGTCAGCTGGCAGAGAAGTGCCTCTTCTCAGAGCCTTGATCAAATGCTGAGTGAGCACAATGCTGAGATTGCTATTGATGGCATAAGCTGCATTCACTGGGGTAAATCAAGCAAATTAGGAAGCAAGATCCAGTGTTGTATCTATAGCAGCATCCCTAAGTCCATAGCACTCCTCCCAGCATGGTTTGGCCCATGCTGCCCACCCTGCTCAGGCATCCCTGGGGGAACAGGGTCATCTGTCCCCGTTTGAGGGACCACAGCAGCCTTAGAGGAGAGATGGAGCTGTTTAATACAGCAGTCCAGAGGTAGCTCTACAGACTGGATTCTTACAGCGTGCAGAGCAGGACAAGTGCCACATTTCCCAAAAAAGAAAATTATCCTCTGCCCAAATAATCAGATATTACTAGTAAACAAGCCATTTTGTCTGAATGCTGCACAGGAGCTGTGCACTTCATGCAGTCCTTACTAGAGCCTGACCCTGCTAAGAGGCCTGGAGTCAAAGAAGCAATAAAAGACAAATGGTTGAATGAAGGCTTCACCAGAAAAATACTGAATGCTGCTACCTCTGAGAACAGGTAAGACATTTCACCTCTCGCTTCTACCTTGGGATTTCAGGATTTTGGGGGGGGAGTGTTGGGGTTTTTAGGTTTTTTTTCTAAGCATAGATAGGTTTTATATAAGATGAAATTTATAGATCCTTATGGAACTGCCTATGTTCTGCCTTTGTTCTCAACATGCCTCAATGGTGCCACTAATTTCTAGACAGTGTGCTTCTAATCCTTTCCTGCAGAACTTGGTCTTTCATGCCCTGAGGGAATGACATTTTTATACTATAGTGAATTTCTTGTTATTCTAATAATTTTTATTCTCATCCATCTTTGTTACTGGCCTTAACTAGTCTCCATTTTTTCTTGGCAAGCCACTTTACAGCTTAAGATTATTATAAAAGTTTGAAATAGATACGCACAATAGGACATTTCACATAAACTTTGCCAACTTTTGAGAAGTTATTCATCTTCCACATTGGGAGGCTGCAAAGTATACTTTGAATGTCTTTAAATACCTGGTTTCAGTGGTGGAAACTTTTACATCTTCCTCACAGCTTAAAGGAACTAGTCATGGGTCAAATATTTCATGCCCATATCATTCTCTAATAGTTGATGGTTTACACTAATCAAAAAGGAGAGCAATTTGGCACTGTCTGCAATGGTGTCTACAGGATGCATGGCAGGTTTTACTGTCACAATCCAGGTGATCCACTGCCAGTCACAGCCAGGGCTATTAGAAATTGATGTGCAATTTGTTCATTTCTCTGAGAATTGCCCACCATTCCCATCTTTGCTTTCCTTCCCTCCCCTAAAATGTGCCTGTGCCCATTCACACTGAATTTTGAAAAAACATCTTAGGAGTCTCAGAACCCAAGGCTGTCGTATTTCTAAAGTGCCTTTAGTAGACTTTACTACTCACAGAAGCCTACGAGTACAATAGTTATCATTATAACATAACCACTTTTATTTCACAATCTGATTCATATAAAAATAAAAACCCTCCTGTACTTTCCTTAGTTGTTTTTTTTTTGTCCTTTGAGATTTTCCTGCCTGTGGGGCTCTTCCCGTCTTCTTATGCACACAAACATACACACACACAATCTCTCTGTTAATCCATTTGAGACTACTGTGCTGAGAACCAAAATATACACACTCGATTAGAATGAGAAAATGCTGGTTTCCATCTTTTAATTTTTCAAGCTTTATCCTGGTGGGTGTCCTTTCAGAGTAATCAATTATATCAACAATAGGATATTTAATAATGCAGTAACGGAGCCTCAGCCCAGCACTGAAGTTAGCATAGCCAGGCTGAGAATTTTTGCACAACTGTGTATCATCATTTGCCCGTACAATCAGCTTCACCTCCTCCAGCTACACCACAAGAAGTGTGTTGTCCATTTACTGTAAATTCTGACACTGTGTCCGGACACCTCGTTTGTATTTAAGTACTTTTTCCTAATATTTCAGACTTTGCCCCAGCGAATTGAACCCCGTTGTCTTAAACTACATGACAGAAATGATGGAGTTCAGTCTTTCAGAAGTTACCAACGTTTTAATAAATAACAGACCCTCTCCTGCCATGGCTTCTTATTGCTTATTGCTGAAGAAACTGCTCAGGTACCAGAAAGATCGCAAAAGAGCCCAGGTAAGATACCGTGATCATGACAGGCTTAAAGTTCTCCCTGGATTCTTATGAGGAACATCGTGACAGCCACACAGCACATGTGAAAAAGGTGGTTGTCCATGGAATGGAGACAAAACTCACCAAAAATAGTTATGAAATTGCCGATCTAGGTGCAGTCTCAGGAAACCTATGTTCTGGCATTCTCAGAGGTGATTATTTTAAGAGATTTTTTTTTCCCAGAGACAAATATACCCTTTTTTATGACTAATGAATTTTAAAAATGGGCTGCTGGTTGTAATGGGATTGAGAGTTATTTTGCTTTACATAAAATATTACTTTTCCATTGGGAAAAGGAGCATTAGCATCTCAGTGACTTTACCATCCCTTCCCTTTCTGACTGGTGCGTGAGGGCCTGATCCAAAGTCTGGGAAGGTGAGTGGGAAGCTGTGAAATCTTTTCCCAGCATCTTTTTTTTGTATTTTTAACACCATATCTTATGCTCACACTCCAGCTCTGACTCACTCAGGGACATGGAGTGAGATCAGAGGGGAGAAAAAATTAAAAATTAAATTCAGAAAGTTATGGTAATCGCTGGTAAGGCCACAATTAGTTAAAAAGGCTGTAAGCTTTTCTTTTACAACCGTCTCCACTAAGGGGTTCACAGCTCAGTCATAAAAATTTTGCTTCAGGCAGAAACTAGGCAGACAGGAAGCCAAATTCCAGCTTCTAACACACAAGTGCAATGGGAAAAGTTTCAGCTACAAAACAACACACATCAGCGATTAGCCTCCCATTCAAAGGCTTTGCCCCGGATAAGCTGTATTTTGAGAAGGTCCAGTTGACTCCTCCAGAAATTATTCAGATGAGCTTGAGCAGATCCAGATCTCCATCCCAGCACACAGCCCCAAGGTCGCAACAGCCTGCGCAGTGTTTGCCAGCAGAGCCATAACTCAAAAATATGAGTTGGGGAGTGTGTGTGTGTGCGTGGGCTTAGGGGGAGGAGGCTTTCCTTCACATATGTGGGTTTCTTCATATTATGATTTTGAATTGGATCTGCTAAATCGTAAGTCACTCAAAAAGAGCTGTATTGTGAAGGCTATTGACCAGCTTTCTTGAATCTCTGGGTATCAAGCTGATTTACAGCCCCTAGAGATCCAGCCTTCCAGGCAAGTGGCAGCGTTTCACGTCCTCTATGACCTCTTTCAGCATCCTCCCCGGGTGGAAGAGGGAAGCAATCACGAGCATAAAGTAAGTTACAAGCTGATTAAGGGGCTGTGTTGCTTCCTGCCACTCCTGGCATTCAAAATGCCCTCTTAAGGCAGAGAGTCAAGCTGAATTCAAGCACAAACCCCCAAAAATGTGTCTGATTGTAAGGTAGTAACACTAAAAATTATTGCTTTGAAATCCTAGTATTTTATTATTTTTTTTTTTCCAGGCAGGCTGGAGGTTTTGGTAGAGCAAGGAAGAAAAGAGAGGAAGTTTAACAAAGGAAAGACTGACATTTTCTTTCTCTGTGTTGACATTTTTCCAGTCAAATGTTTTAAACCCAAACTGGTACTGACCCAAAATAACCTAGCTAGCTACCAGCTCAAAACAGTGGTGACTTTCCCAGAATCACAGACTCGCTGAGGTTGGCAGGGACCTCTGGAGATCATCTGGCCCAACCCCTTTATTCAAGCAGGGTCACGTAGAGCTGCTTGCCCAGGACCTTGTCCAGATGGTTTTTAACTGTCTCCAAGGATGGAGACTCCACAGCTTCCCTGGGCAGCCTGTGGCAGTGCTTGGTCACCCTCACAGTGAAAAAGTGTTTCCTGATGTTCAGAGGGATCCTTCCATGTTTCAGTTTGTCCTGTCACTGAGGACCTCTGAAAAGAGCCTGGCTCCATCCTCCTTGCACTCTCTCTTCAGACATTTGTATAAATTGATAAAATATATTATTGAGTTTCCACCAAGACTTCTCCAGGCTGAGGAGTCTCAGCATTCTAAGCCTTTCCTTGTATGAGAGATGCTCCAGTCCCTTAATCATCTTTGTGGTCCTTCACTGGACTGTCTCCAGTACATCCATGTCTTTCTTCTACTGAGGAGCCCAGACCTGGACACAGTACTCCAGGTGTGGTCTTACTAGCACTGAGTAGAGGGGCAGTGTCACCTCCCTTCACCTGCTGTCAACACCCCTCCTAATGCAGCCCAGGATATCATCTGCCTTCTTTGCAGCAAGGCCAGCTGATGGCTCATGTTCAACTTGGTGTCCACCAGGACCCCCAGCTCCGTTTCTGCTTTCCAGCTGGGCAGCCCCGCCATATGCTGGTGCCTGGGGTTGTTCCTCTCCAGGAGAAGGACTTTGCACTTCCCCTTTCTGAACTAAACCCAGGGGGGACATGTCCACTTTGTGAACTGGGTACAGACTCTGGGGTCTGTTCAGTTGTGTCATAACACAACTCCCCAGTTCTGCACCTTCCCTATGTCCCTTTCCACATAGCTCCCAGGTGTGCAGTTCTTTCTTCCCCACTGCAAAAACAATGCTGATCTGCAAACCTTCACATGTTCAATGTGGGGACTTCTTAAACTTGCATTTAGACAGACAGAATCTCCCTTTCATGGCTTTGCAGGGAACTGACTTGCTGTTAGGAGGACATCTTTGATAAGAACCTGAAACACATGCACAAGCTAGGTGCCTAAATGTGGCATCTGTGTCATTAAAAGGCTGTTTCCTCTTGTTTAGTAGCACAAGGTTTGTAAATGCTACCCTTAAACTCATAAACACAAAGCCTGCTACTAGTGCCATTTAGAGATTACTCTGTTATCAGACTGTTTGTAAAACTCATTGTCTTTTCCCCAGATTGTCACTCTACATCGTTTGTTTCTTAATGTTGTTCCTCTACTCCCTCTTACATTCTCCTGTATTATAAAAATTAGTATTTCTCCCTTGCTAGTAGTTAGGTTCTGCAACTATTTGCAGTTATTAGTGATCACCTCTCAGTTGTTTCTTATTCGAGCCTTATACACAATTAACCTGTGCAATCACTCCTCCCCAGGAGCTCTTAAGTCATGACTATCAGTGTTTCCACCTTACGCCACCTTGTACAACATTCAGTAATACTCATATTGCCCAAAAAGGCTGGGGTTTGGGTGAAAAGACGGGAGAGAGAGGGGAAGGCTGGCTAAAAAAAAAAAAAAGAAATCAAGTTGGGCGTTCTTACTCAATGCTCTCATTTTTCCAGTATCCTCTGGCCTGTTCTTCAGCAAGAGCTACTTTGTGCACATGCTTACACAATGGCAAAACTTAGCCCTAAGCGTATGCAAAGTATATAGGGAAAAGAAAATAAAAGAATGTGTCTCTCGGATCCCGAGGCGGAGCCCCACACGGGTGGCATGACGTTTTTGGGCAGAGGCAGAGCCAAGAGCAGCCCCCGGCTCCCCTGGAGCCCGGCCCACGCTGCGCTGGCACCGCTCTCGGAGGAGGCAGCTGGCAGGGCATTATCTTGGGGGAAAAGAATCTCTGCTTTGGTCTGAAAGAGGCCAAATTCAACCACCTCTTTGGCAGGCTGCACTGCACTTCTCCGACCACCCGGCCACAGGGAGTTGAAACTGAGAAAGGCGAGTAAAAATTGTTAACTGAGTGCGAGGGGGGAAATTTCCCACTTTTTCTTCATCTTCTTGTTGGGATCTTGATAATGTTACTGGAGCTTAATTACAACAGCATGGGTACTGGATACTTGTATTACAAATTATGCCAAGGATATTTCAAAATGCATAGATAGATGTTCTTTCTATTCTGTATAATGCCAACTATTTGCTATTTATTACTAGCAGCGTGTGATCCATCATTAAATCACATAATTTCCTTTCAGCCCTCCAGATCTTGCAAATGTATGCATCTGCTTTAACTTTAAGTATGTGAAAAGTTCCACTGAGCTCAACAAGACGACTTGTGTGCATAAAATTAAAGCACAACAATCAACATTTGCATCTAAATGAGTGCAAATTTAAGTCTAAATGACAGAAAAAAATAAGTAACAACTAACAGTCACAGGTAAAATGAAGTGCCCTGAAAACAAATTGCCATTCATTTACATTATTTCTGTCTAGGACCATGAAGACTATTGTGTATTCTTGTCTGCCTATGAAAAGAGACATGTACAGACAGCTAATATTTATAAAAGAGTAGATTAATGGTAAAAAAAATACTCCAGTATTTTTGAGCAAATTAAAAACCTCCCCTCAGTGAATTGTAGAGAAAGTTGGCATCTGGCTCTTCTGAAAGTTCTGTCTAAAAAGAACCAAACGTATCAAATATCAACACAAACGAAAAAGTATTTGCACTCATGACAATGCTCATGAATAACATGCAATAAAAAATTCCACCAACACAATCAGCCCAAAACATTGTTTGGAATTCAAACACATATTCACAAACCACTGCATTCAACTCATTCCAGGCAGGCGACTACGCTGTGATTTTTCACACAATACTGAAGCAACATACTATTTCCTAGGGACAAATTTTCAGCAGAACCTCCAATCTACAACTGCAAAAAAGTCTGTGGAAATTATTTTTCATGTACAAAACCTCTGTGTTCGAAAAACAAGTGTGAGTCATTGTATTTGCAACTCCTCCTTGTATACACAAGTTAACATTTGTACATGCAAATTATAGTTTTGGTAGATGCAAACAGATGTGATTCTCATTTTTCTGGGTGCAATTAGAGAAGTCTGCTGAAAGCTTGACCCTGAAAAAAGCATAAGATCCTTTCCATGTTCAAATTTGAGCCATAAGTCATTGGACAAACTTAAAACACAGCCTGTCCTTTTATGCGTCGTAATTTCTCCAAGCAATGTATTTACATTTTATGTGTTCTGTTGTAGAAGAGGGAGCCTTAATGATTACAATTTGCCATCCAGAACTTTATAGCTAGTCCTTGCAGAAAATAGCATTTCTGCCAAAAAGCTTCCTGCCCAGGTGCTTAACCAATTAGCTCTTAAGAGGTCTGGCAGTAAAACCAGTCATGGCAAGTTTTCTGATATACTGTATATAAGGTGACAGCTTGCAAAATGTAAGATGAAAATTTGTTTTCTTAACTAGCAGTGTGTAAAATCCTGGGAGACTATTTGATTGCATGGCCTAAAATGCTTATGACATCTCAAATTCCCAATTGATCTAGTGCGGTTTTAGCAATATGTTGTCAACTTAAACATACTGCGTTTCTTTTTATAAATACTTTTAAAATAATTTTCTTAATTGTGATTGGGTTCTGCAAATATGTAGGAAGTATGGAGTAACCCCACAAGCTTGAGGGTTGAGGCCCTTCAAACTTTTCCAAACAGTTTTGCTAACTCACAAAATACATGCAAGCTTTCAAAAGCGCCTTTTCTCCACAAATTACACCCACTTTTTATAATGGCATGTTAGATTAAAAACATATTTTTCACAAGGGGAGTACTTTGCAATGCAAAGAATAGAAGAAAACCATGAAAGATAAATAAACCATAGTAAAACAAATGACTTCTCTGATTCTGGAAGCCAGAAGTTTGTATTATGTGGGGATGGCAGTGAAAAGATCCAAACTCGCTACAGACAATCCCTGAAGCCGGAGCTGCACAACAAGAAAGCGGGTCTGCCTAAGATGATGTAGAGAACATGCAAAATAGCTCAGTATTGAACTGGAATATCCACGTGGGTAGTCAATCACAGAATGATCTGGGGTTGGAAGGGACCTCTAGAGATCATCTAGTCCAACCCCCTGCCAAAGCAGGTCCACCCAGAGCAGGTCCCACAGGAACGTGTCCAGGTGGGTTTGGAATGTCTCCAGAGAAGGAGACTCCACCACCTCTCTGGGCAGCCTCTGCCAGGGCTCTGCCATCCTCAAAGAAAAGAAGTTCCTCCTCATATTTAGATGGAATTTCTTATATTCAAGTTTGTGCCCGTTCCCTCTTTTCCTGTCGCTGGGCACCACTGAAATAAGACTGGCCCCATCCTCTTGAAACCCTCCCTTTAAGTATTTATAAACATTGATTATATGCCCCCTAAGTCTTCTCTTCTCTAGACTAAAATGACCCAAGTCCCAGTACATTTCAGAAATTTAATTTTCAGGAGTGTTAGAACCTGAGAGAAGACAGTCTTTGGCAGAAACAGTACATCGTGCAGAGAGATCATCTTAGGATTTAGTCTTGTAGGAGGGAGGTTATTGCACCTGGCAGCCCTTGCATTTTCACAAGGTTTTGATACCTGAAACTCAGCCTGCATGAGGCTACCACAGTGAGGACTCTGAAAGCTTGGATGATGGGATAGAGGAGTGTCCTACATATGAGAATACACCCCCAGGTGCAAGTAGGACACATGCAGGAGTAAGGGTGATGACACTGCAGCAAGATCGAGTCCTAGAGACCATGCTCTTGTTAGAGATGTTGTAGTGTTCTTCCTCTGCAGCATGAGCTCTGGGGTACCCTGGTCTCCCTCAGACATCTTCTAGCAGGTTCTGGGAGCCATAAGCCTCCAAGAACGTGCTATAAGCTCTCCAAAGATGGCATTCTAGTCTCTGGTGGATTTTCACAAAAACTTGTTCCCTGTGGCCTGTTTGGAAAAGGGCAGGGTCTGCCAGCCCATGTGCAGCTGGGTTTCAGGAAGACTCTCTGGCATGGGGTCTGCTCAGGTGAAAAACTTGTGTGTAACTAAGGGTTGTACAAAAAAGATTTTCCATTGCACGTGTTATACTGTGATTTCCTTTAAAGTTTAAGGTGCTTTTTTGTCCCATACTAATAGGATGGTGTCTGATCACTTTGCAGAGGGAAAATGAAGTCGAAAAACACAACATTAATCCTAATGAACATTTGAATAAGGAGTCAGAAATTCCAATTTCCCAGAAGACTGAAATGGACGCTCTGGAAAACCTCAGGAATTATGGCAGTAGGGTATTTCCTTCTGTACTAACCCTGGCGATTCCAGATACTATTGAAGAAGATGAGATTGCAATTCCATTAGAAAACCAAGAAAACTTGTCAGAAGGTACTGTTCCAAAATATAGTCTTGGCATCTCAGTCTGAAAAGGGTACTAGGGTTTCTGTCTGGGAAAAAAAGGGAACACTCACCATTCCTGAAAATGCTATAGAATTATCCTTCCATTTTGTTTTGAAATTACAAGTATTTGGAGAAATTGTTTCCCAATCCCGAGTCTGGTGACTGATTTAATTTTGATCATGTGAAAAAATTAACAGGTGAACACCTGATCCAGTTCATACTCCGCAAATACTGATTACAGATAACTGTTCTGTGTCACTGCGCGGGTTAGTTCCTCTACGAGTCACCCTGGGATGCTACTAGTACCGCTAAGGCACTTCCAAGAATAGACATTTATGAGTAAAAAAAGGAAATTATTTACAGTCCCAGGATGAATGAGAGCATGATGCAAGTGTCACAACTTCACTGGTGGTGAGACACTGGAACAGGTTACCCAGAGAAGCTGTGGCTGCCCCATCCCTGGAGGGGTTCAAGGCCAGGCTGGATGGGGCTTGGAGCAACCTGGTCTGGTGGAAGGTGTCCCTGCCCATGGCAGGGGGTTGGAACTCAATGATTTTTAAGGTCTCTTCTAACCCAAACCATTCTATGATTCTATAAGAAGGGGTTGCACTCATATCCATGGCATTATTTTCCACAGTCTCAAAAATATAGAAGATACACAGTACTGGATAATCAAACTCCAGGTCTGAATTTAGACTTACTTCTGCTCCAGTTATTGCACACCCATTGCTATTCACATATGTGGCATGGTTAAATTAATGCCATAAATAGCCCCAGCAGCATAAACAAGTAATAGTCACTAAAATTAAGCCAGACAACTTTATGCTGAGATGCTAGTTTAAGATCATCCACTCAACCAAAAAACTTGCCAATTGCCTACCTGCAGATCATCATTTGCTTTAAATCCTTGGTGCAAAATTTCATTTTATGTCAAGATCTACTTTTATTTATGCCTTTAAAAGTACTGGCTTTCTTATTATGGTATGAAGCTCTTTTGATATTAATATTTTATTTTTCTTGAAAATACTACTCCAACAGAAACTGATCTGATTTATTCTATGTTTTCTTTAGTTTCCAAGTTTGCAGGCAGAGAGCTGGTCCACTTTGGACCTCCTAAGTCATTGAGGAAAAGTACGCCGCATGAGCCCACATATCAGCTGCTTTTGGACCTTCAGGAGAATCTGAATGATTTTGAAGACTTGAGTGAAGCTGGAAAACTACGTCTTCATGAGAAATCACCATCCACACCAGCAAATAACCAACCTCCCTCTTCAAACACCCAAGCAATGGCATGTATAAGCAAAGCACCTCCCCGGTCCCTAATGGAAAACAGAATTATTACCAGGAGTCCTTTGCCTCATCAGGACATGATATATAAAGACTTTCTGAGAGCAGAAGGTGACAATATTTGCATCCCAACACAGTGGCATCTTGATAAAGAGGACACTGATCTCCTCATGACTGACTCAACCCAGCTGGCGCCTTTTCCCAGGCTGCGACAAGCAGCCCTGAGAGAAACCCTGGCTAAAAAGATTTCTTGGCTGGGGGCATCACAGCAACAGACAAATATCTGCCCCATGGTTTTAGTCAATGGTTCAAAACCACCAGCCTTCCCCGTGTCCCAACAGCAAATGTTTACCCTAAGAAGTATGAGGCAGTCTAAAGAAATCCCAACTCATTTTTTCAACAAGAAAACTAAGAAAAACTTTATCCAACTCAGACACGCACCTAAAACTACAGATCTAAATCTTCCAGTTTTATCTCCACCATACCAGACCAGGCTGAGGAAAAATACAGAGATTCTATGGTTAAATTTTGCATAAATAAAACACCCACAAAGCATCAGAAGAAAATAGGATGACGGGGCAGGAAAGAAACAAAAATGGACAGAAAGACTGAGTGAGAAAAGGAAGGCAGGAGAGATTAATCCAATCTTAAAATGAGACACCTCCAAACACAAAGAAGGATGACATGATTTAAGCTGCGTGTCCTCTGACATCCATCAAACATCAGGCTACAAACTTTACAGAGTGCACCAAAGACGCAGAAAAACAGATGTCACTGTAACAGAACAATATCAAGCATATTTAGGCAAAAAAAGGGGGCACTGCAGGCAGAGGACACAATTTTAAATATTTTGTATCAATACATGTACCATCCCAAACTTGTGTCACTTGTACTTATGTATTTCGTTCGGGAAATAAACCTGGTCAGGCAATTTTCATTAAGCTGTGAACATAATGCAGAAGGTAAACAAACAGTAACCGTGGTGGAATAATTGATTTTGTGGGCATTGTTGTAATAAAAAAGTCATGGCCCTGATCTTTTCTTTCTTTATTTATTAGTTGTAACTGTGTGCATTCTAATTAATGGAGAACACACAACCTAACTCCCCTGAAAGGAGCAAATCAACACATTTTCCTTGTAAATTTAACAGCTTAATTAAGTCTGCCTATTTGTAACTGTGTGCCTTTGCAACATTTGTCTCTTACTATTGAAAATATGCATTTGCTTCCAGTTTCAATGATTAATGCTTTTCACTAGATTTTCATGGTACTAAGCTTTGAGCCTGATTCTGTTTTCAAACCAGTTTTATACCGGTTTAAAACCCTTAACTTCAACAGTTTTGAGCTTGATTGACTCCAACAGAGATGAGAACACGATGGGAGTCTTCATATTTGCTGTTCAGTAAGCTCACATATTGAAGTAAAAGATGAGCCAAGAGTTGCTAAGTGATACTGGAAAGAAAAAGGTATGAGGTAAAGCCAAGGCTTTCACCTTACAAGCATCATGGTAAACATTTGGTCGCACTGAGCGTGTCCCATTTTACTCTATCTTGTCTTCTCCCACCACGCCAGGACCACATCCACAGGGTGAACTCTTTGTGGCCGACTCAGCTCCTTCACCAGCATGTAGCCCCTCTGCCATCTCCTCGGCTGGGCTGAAAGAACCTCTGAATAACAGACCTGTTTTTAACTAGGGACATCTTTGGTGATCAGCCCTTACAGGGCAAGTCCACGGCTGCAGCGGAAGAGCTTGGAGAGGAAGGATGGGGCATGTAGGCAGGAATTTATCACCACCGAAGAAAACATGCTGTGGAACTTTGCTTATGACTCTGGCACCATGTAATTCAGAACCTAGAGGTAGCTGAGTGATTTCCAGATAATGTTCTTCTTGGAAAATCTGATTTCCTTAGAATTCAGAAAGTGTTTATGTCTCAAAAACATTTTCAGCTTTGAATCGCCCTTACAAAACACTTTTTGTTTGAATATTTGGTTTGAAACAAATGGTTTCAGCTGTAAGTTGACATTTCAATTTACTGTTTCCTTTCATAATACTGAAATGCTTCCTTCTGACCATAAATGTCTAAAAGCTTCTTCCTCCACGTAATTATTTTTCTGGGAAAAATTCCTTTCCTTGACACTTTTTATTTTTTTTGTCTTTATACTCTAATTCCAGATGACAATAACTTAAAATGCTCTAACTTTTTTTCACCAAGTTGAAACTCCATTTTCCAAACAGCTCTACCACCATCTTCCAGATCTTCCAGTTGGAGAGAGGAAAGCAAGAGGAGCTCATGGTTCTCCTCTACCAACTCTGTGCAGGAGTGGCTATGTAGGTGCCAAGCAGACAAAGGGCACAGGAGAATAATCATTGCCCACTAAAATGAAGCCTGAAAAGATAGGTGACTGTGCACCATGACCCAAGTGCCAAAGAGGCAACTCTTCCTGAAGGAGCTCCGAATTGTGATGCCTCCATCCCCCTGTGGCCTCAGCTGCCTCCAGCCCAGCCTGCAGCAGAGAATGGAGGTTTCCAAGGGGTGAGACACTTATCAATGGTTGGAGATAACACCAAGTCTTTGTGGGGTCCCTGCCACCTGCCTGTTCTTCCTATCTTCAAGGTAACGTGGTTTCTTATTTCTAAGAGTAGTTTACTAAAATGCAAGGGAACTTCCCTTCTTCTGCCCTGTCTGACACTTTAAAGGTCACAGGACTGAAATAGGTGTTTCTTCAACATGCTAGTATTGCTTTACAGACATCACGTACAGAGAAAAGACATTTTCTACCTACACTTTCCATACACTCATTTAAGGGCTTACTTCGACCTATCCTTCTCCCGTGCTGTTCCAACACTGCTGAAACATATATCTGCTACCAGCACAGAGTGGTTATGTCTGAGCAGGAACTCTCCTCTACCATGTATATTAACACTTTGAAATGAAAGCCATCTTGCTGCTGAAGGGGAGAAGGTTCAGTGCCATAAACGCTGGTCCTGGATCACGTGCAGAGCTGGGAAGGAGCAGGGAGCACGGTGCAGTGTGGCCGATAACGCGGCCTGTGACGATGGAAACACCTCCAGGCAGCCAGACCGCACGGGTGGCCCAGGCAGCGAGATGGTGCCAATATTTTAACAAGTGGCTCCCACCAAAAAAACGTTTCCCTTCAGCAGGTGATAAATTTACACTTCAGGGATGTGATGTCTGCAGAAAGAAGTGACGGGCTCCAGAATCTGCCCTTTTATTTAACAATGTAAAGAAGAAAAATATGCTTCTGAGTAAAGAAGGGGACATTGCAGCTTGGCAAGAAAACACATTAGGATGCCCTTGGCCAGAAATGCACTGAGTCATGGAGAGTAGTGTTGGACCAGTGCAATTCGTGTGGAGGGAGAGAAGGGAGCTGAATGCCTTGCACAGGAGTCCCACAGCATCCTACCTCAGGAAGGGTTATTGAAAATACCTAACCCTGAGTAGAGTCTTATTACAACCCTGATAGAAAGCCAACACTACTAAGACGTAAGGCGAGGTGAGGTGGGACGGGAAGGCTTTCACACCTCCTCTCTCACATCTGGTAGCAGAAACCTAACAACAGGCTCCTAAAGAGACAGCTTCCGAAGGAGCATTTAGCTACTTCCTTGCATCTATAGCAGCTCCTTGTCCAAACAAACTTCACACAGAGTCTCTGTTGGGACTGACACTGGATCTTTAGGTCCTTCAAGTCAGTCTCTATAAGTGGATCCTGCTCTTTGGGCGGTCTGTCAATGCAATCACGAGAGATTCCCAGCCCTCCATGTCACAGGTTTTCCATTTACACATAGGAAATGGCACCTTTTACTACTATCCTGTTTCTGCGCCGTATTAATAAGTTCAACTGCTTTATGTATTACCAGTTTGAACACTGGTCTGCTTTTCAAATCACAACTGTTTTCATGTCAGCAAAAGAATTTCAAGCCACAGGAAATTCAGGGGATGAAGTGCAAATATACACTTAGAAAGAGCTATCAGGAAGCGTCATCAAATCTACAGCTGGAAATATCTAAAAATAAAAATCACTGCTTTCATATTGCACTTCTAATTTCATAATTTTTTAAACACGTACATGAAGGAGATTAATAATTTAGCAAGTAAAGGAATTTCTGTTTAGCCTCTGAAAAATCCCTGAATAATTCAGAAGTTCTGACATGAGATAGCCTTTGTGATGCTGACCCATCCACACTGGGTAAAACGCTGAATAGAGGTAGAAGTGACAGACCCATTCTCTCACAGCCCTCTCATGTTACAGTTTATGAACAGCAAAACTCCACAAATCCGAAGCTCACAAAACCCGAGAAAGCAGCTCATGTTCACCTGTTGTCTGTTGCCAGCAAGATGATGAGAAAGGGCAAACAGGAGCATTTTGCTCATCCCTTATAAACACGGTGTTAAAACTAGAACACCTGATTTGCAGTCCAAGGAAATCCACTCTTTCGACTTCCATAGGCTTTAATGGTAAGGGCTGTGAAAGGTTTAAGAAATTGAGATGATTTTCATCGTACACAAGCTATCTTAAAAGAAATCAATGTTTGTTGAAATGAAAGTGAGCCTGAGAAATATATAAACATGTTTTTTCTTCTATAAAGCAGCACGTATGATATTTATGGTCCTTATATGTAACATACATTTGTTTCACCCATACATATGAAATTAAAATTATTCAGAATCATAATAGTAACGAATCATTCCTTTCCTCACTTTCACCAGTTTTTTCAGTTCTGGCTATTGTTTTGGATTACAGACTATTTACATGGGTACTACAGAAAAATGCAAGGTAGTGAACTTAGGAAATACAGTCTTCTTAAGAATAAATATTTGAGATTTCTGCTAGAATTTGTGGTATAAAAAATTCCAGCACAAGAATCAGCAGGGACCTTCCTACCAAGTCCACCATTTTCCTGGTTGTCGCATTTGAGCTCCAGTCCCTTAAACACATACTTTGCAGCTAATCCATTAGAGAGAAAATGAGAGGAGGCTTTCAGGAAAGGGCTATTTCCAGCTAGGAAGGAGCTATCACAGAGGTAAAGACTTCCAGCACCACTCCAGAGAGTGGGCAGAGGTGCAAAGGGAATAAATAGAGCAAAATGCCATGAGTTATGCTCAGGCTGAGATTTTGAGGAGCAAAAGGATCTTGCAGTCAGATGTTGCTTACTCAACCTTAAACAGAGGAGACATCTCTGACTAAGCTGGCTGTTTATAGACTCCTTCATAGTCAATGGAGACCATGGACATCTGGAAAAGAGGGAGAGTAAATTAGCTCTGGAAGCCTCAAACAGACTCCTCAAGGTCTACCCAACTGCACTGCCATAAAGACGACTTGATCCAATATTCTGGGCTTTGAGTTTCCACAGACTGGGGAATAACAACAGAGCACCCATCTCATCTCATGAATGTTTATAGCTGGCAGGACTCTTTCCTGATGTCCACAGAAGAATAATGGTAAGATTTTTAAGTCCTTATCTGGGGCAAATTATCAAAGGCTCAAAAAGGTAAAAGGGAGGAAAAAATGGGTCT